ATGATGTGCGACACAGAGATGGGTGGGAGGTCATCTTATTTAAAGGGTGCAATGTGTGCTTAAATCATGTTTCGTGACAATTTGATCTGTTCAAGACAACACACACAACCACTGAATTACAAGGGAAATTTTGAAATAAAAATCTTTCCTTTTTATAATTTTTTTTCATCAATTTGTTACGAGAATAAAACAGAAAGAGACGTACTTAGAGAGAAAATAGAAGGTACGACATACATGGGTATTGAAGAAGGGTCATCTTAAGATAAATGAGTTCTTTGTAGTGAGAGATTAAGTCATATTTTGTTACCTAACAATCTTTTGAAAATAGAAAATGAATTCAGTAAATAAAATAGAGGCAAAAAGTAATTTCGACAGAGTGTGGGCGCTCATCTTTTTAAAATGTTTTCGATTGTAATATGAGTGCTAGGCGATCCTGTATTTTTCGATACATGACTGAAGAAACAGATTTTTTCCAGCAGTAGGTTGCCATTTGTTTCTGCGGTAGACAATTTGCTCTCCAAGTTTATAGAACACGGTCTGTCCTGATATTTACACATACCTGGGTAATTTTGAAATTAAAATATTTTCTTTTTTTTCAAATCTTTCTTAGCGAATTTGTTACAGGCTGAAGGAATTTAGTTACAAGCCTGAATGAATTTAGGCTGTTTTGATCATCTGAGAATAAAACAGAAAAGAGGTACTTAGAGAGAAATCAGAGAGTGCGAGGCAGAGGGGTATTAGAGGAGGGCCATCTTAAGTCAAGACAGTTGTATGTACTGAAGAGTTAAATCATTTTTCGTACCCTAACAATCGATCGAGAATATTTCAATACTAGCTTAAAAGACCCCCTATCGGGCGGCATTTAAGCTAACTTCTGCGGATTGCTCTTGACTGGGCCTTCATCTTGCGGCCTCAGCCGAGATTGAACTCACCAATACTTTGATTGGTGTAGTTCATTATCTTGTCAAATAGCTGAATTCTTGATGCTTCGCTAGGGCTATCAACACCAACACTAAATGGATTGCCAACCAAGGCTCAGAGAGACTCCATTCACCCTCCTCTAAAAGCAGGTTTGAATTCAGAGTTTTCCTTCTCCTAGACCAGTTGCCATCCAAGGCCATAGAACTCAGTCTGTCCTGCTATTTACCCATAGCTGGAGGGTGAAGAGAGAGGATTCACACCTTTCCCAAGGGTGGTAGCACGTAAATGAATGTAATGGATTCGACTGGAATTCGAACTCGGCTCTCCGATTCCTCAGCCGTTATCCATTACTCCACCGTGCCTCCCTTCATTACAAGAGTTAAGGAGGTGTAGATAGAATAGATAACAACAATAAAGTACAGAAGAATTCCAAATTGATCACTGCATTCAAGAATTGCATTAGTATTTAAGCTTACCTTTTAAAAGATCAACGATAATTCTATTATCGCCACTTAATTTAAAGACAATATGTTGAACGTAGCTCCTTAATTTCCGTACAAACAATTATTTTTATTTCATGGCTGACTTTCACTGGATTTCGTAATTAATTTTGATTACACCCAAATTTATTTCCAAGTTATAAAAAATTGTTATCAGCAAATAATTCACCGAAAAAATCACTTGAATTGCAGTAATAAATACTTTGGAATAAAAAATTTCATGATTTCGCGTTCGGATAAGGCCAAGAATTTTTTTTTTTAATTTGCACACGGAGTTGACCTAATTCCGAAAGGGTATGATATATTGGTCTACGGCTTCTAGGAGTATAGTTTAAAAAGTATGACACAGTGATATTCGCATTTATTATATAGATTTTTAAGAATGACTGTATAATTTTTGTTATAATTATCTGGGAATTTAATATTAAAAATATCAGTAAATCCGTATAATTTACACGAGTCCTACTGGTTGTTGTTTTTGCTCTTCTTCTTCTTCTTCTTCTTATTCTTCTTCTTATTATTATTATTATTATTATTATTATTATTATTATTATTATTATTTGCCGGGGCATAGTTTTAAGTGAGTAATTACCCAGTCCGCACTCCGGGGTCTATGAATAAAAAGGGGCATTCTGTGTGAGTTATCTATGCACATTTGTGGCGTTTCGCTTATGTAGAGAGTGTTTTGCGGATAATGTGTGCAGTTTTGCATAAAGTAATTTTTTTGCAAATCTGAAATGCTGATGGGTTCAAGCATTTGACTCTCATGATTTTCGGTAAAATCATTTTGCATACCCAATGTCTCTATCTGAACAAAGAGATTTTATAATTCTTCTTTAGAATTATTGGAATTATGTGGGCATCTCATATCTATTAGTTGGCAGATTCCGTATTTTAAATCTTTTATGACAATGTCCGGTCTATTTGCATCCTGTCTGTGAGGATTGGAAAACTCCACAGTCTAAACATACCATCACAATTGTGATTATTATTATTATTATTATTATTATTATTATTATTATTATTATTATTATTTCCTTTTATTTATGTTTAATACATATTTCCTTACGGGTCCCAGACATTTTCACTGAAGATTTTTGTAAAAAATAAAAAAATAAAACACCCTAAGTTCGTACATATGTTTACATTTTTGGTGCTTATTAATTTATATATTTCGTTTTTAATATCTTAAAAACCATCCTATACGGCGGCAGAAGAGCTTTTGACTGAGCCTTCATTACAACAGGTAGGGAGGAGTAGATGTGATAGGCAACAATAAACTACAGAAGACCTCAAAACTGATAGCTGCATTTAAGTATTGCATTAATATTTAAGCTTAACTTCAACGATAACTCTTCTGTCGCCACTTAATTTAAAAGCTGCTTGATGTACGCAGGTCCTTATTTCGTGTACAAAGAATTATTTTTATGTCATGGGGGACTTTCGCTGGATTTCGCAATTAATTTCGATTATTTGTACATTTATTTCAAATTACAAAAATTTTTGTTGTACAAAAAAAAAAAAAAACAACAACAAAAAAAAAAATCGTAAAAAGTCACGTGAAAAATTGCCGAAAACAATTGCAGAAATGAAAACTTGGGAAGCCAAAATCTGTCCGGATCCGGCCCAGAATGTTTTTAATTTGCTCACAGAGTCGGCCCGATTCCGAAATGGTATATGTTTGGCTTCAGCATCTAAGAGTAAATATGAAAACACGGGCAATTTGTTTCATTTGAAGATGAGCTATTTAAATTTAGATAGTTGCGTCCCTTTGTTATTTGAAGCCAAAATGGCGGAATTCGAAAACAATCGCTTTAATGAAAACTTTCAGGATTGCGAGCCACGATCGACCCTGAATGATTTTAAATTACTCAGGAAATCGGCTTGATTCCAAAATGGAATGATATGCTGAACTACAGCTTCTAGGAGAAAAGTTGAAAAAGTGTGACACAGTGACACACTGACACCCGCATTTATTATATATTATTATTATTATTAATATTACTACTACTACTACTACTACTACTACTAGTAGTAGTAGTAGTAGTAGTAGTACATTTGTCTCCTTGAATTGTTGTTTAATACAAAGATTTTTTGTTACCTGAATAATGCTTTTCTGTCTCATCACCTGTCTCTTAATAATATGTTCAGTCAAAACGGGTATTTATATCATTATTTACATCAGAAGTTGTTTTTAAAAGTGATACTCTTGCCATTTCTATTTCAAGTGTCTTATAGTATTTTAGGTTCGCCGTGTTATTTTGCTGAGATGCAGTATTTCTTTTCAACTGACAGAGTGACCATATCTATAAGAGAGCATTTTGTTTAGTGACGCATTTCATTATTATATTTACTACCCAGAGATTATATGAGAAGCAAACTGCCAGTATATGAACAGAAAAACATTTTTATACTATGGTCGACTGATCAAGTTACTCTCATGGAATGCGACCAAATGACGTTTATTTTTCAACATAGACCCCTTGCGACCCACACAATTTTTCCATCGGCGTTGCAGTGCTGGTGAAGAATCTTTTATCCTGCTCGTCAAAAAAGTCAACAACAGCAACTTGCGATTGTTTTCGAATTCCGCCATCTTGGCTGCAAAAAACAAAGGGACACAACTCTCTAAATTTAACTTTATCATCACTGCGATACTGATTTCTAAGTGTTTTTTCTTTTAAAAAAAACACAACGAAAATCAAATATCACGCATGACTTTTAAACATAAAGCTATTTGTAATGTGTGAGCTGTACTTTTGATTACAATTTTCTGTATTTCTTTAAGGCATGGGCTACCATACTTACAATGTGTCTATCGGAATTTTTTTCCAAACAATCCGATAGCCTCGACTACAATTGGAATTATTGATGTCCTCATCTGCCTCATTTTTTTAGATTTCCGTTTAAAGATGCTCGTATTTTGATAGTTCTTTTTAAGATCTTAACAAATACAATACAATCTGCAGGAACTGTCATATCAATAAGAAAGCACATTATGTTTTTGCGGTCTTTGATCACGATGTCTAGGCGATTAGCTTTGATAGTTCTGTCTGTATGCATTGTAAAGTCCCATAAAATTGTTACAGATTCTATATATTACATTAAGCAAATAATTATTGCCTGGTATTTTAGACACAATACATTCATATTAGGCATATATTTGATTGTCAATTTTCCTTTATGTCAGATATGACGTGACTCAAGAACGCGTAGAATAGTCCAAGCAAACGTTTTTCATTTTTATTTTCCTTTTTCTTCCATTCTTTCAGATGAGAGGATATGAGTAAAGGCTATTTGATATTTTTGTCGGTGCAGTAAAGATATTAGATGTACTATGGCTTACCCCACTTGACTTTGCTAAAATGGCCGTTATGTGATGTTAAGTTCTGTAAAAAGCAAACATCTCTTTCGTCCTTCTTTCTTTTCTCCTAAGATTTTTCAGTATGAAGGTGAAGTCGTCCCAGATGGGGAAAGTTCCTTTCCCCGGTCAACTGAAACGCATAATTCTTAAATAGCTAAGTTTTTGCGGATAATTACCGCTGAGACCCAAGAGGGCCAGAGTAAACTAGCTTAAATATGCGTATAGAACGACCGAATTGCCAACGAGTCAAACCGTCCGAGCATCAGCGCTGGAATGACAAGGCGCATGCGTCATTGAGTCATATCGCGGCTGACAGCGTGCTCAGTATGCAAATTCTCTGGCTTGGCAAGAACGTATAAATAAGCGAGTATTTGTTGATACGTCAGAAGATATTTGCGCTCAGCAGAACTTCTTGTCGACCTATTTGCCTTTGCACGGAGTGGAACGCAGACGAAACTGTCCTTCGGCATAGCTTCGTCTTGAGAGGTAGACGAGGATATTTTTTATGCGAGACTACGGGCTCAGAACGCTCCACGTTCCGAACTGGCCTTTCGCCACATCCCACCTTGTTGGGAGGCTTCGGGTAAATAACGAAGGCTTTTGCGCTCAACGTAACTCACAATGGTGCGTACTGAACAAGATTCCGTTACGAGTGTGTTTCCAATTTCTGTGGTACGGTATCCCAGGTTTCCTGTTACAGTCTTTCATTTCTAGTTTTTTCTTCCTTCTTGAACTGCGTACAAATTAATGCAATTTCTCTTCGTTAATTATTGTGGAGTAGGACTCAACTTGCTTTTTGTGAACTGCTAGCTCCTAATTATAAATATGGCAAATAACAAGGTTTGAGTAAAATTTGAGGAGTAGTGTATTTACTCATGTTTTTTATTTCGTTCTTTTTATGAGTATTTAATAAACCTCTTCTTTGTCTTTCCTATTTAGTCGTCTGCTCCTTCTATACACTAACTACGACCTTCCTAATTCTCGGCTATTTTGACCAAAGACAACATTAAATTAATCGTTTGTTTAAAACCCATTTTTTGTGTTATTTTATCCGGACACACATAAGTCAGACAAATATTATTTTCGGGGAAAATGTACGAGGAGTCATTAAATACTTAACTCTAAAATGTCCACGCATCGCAAGAAAAATGTTGAATCCACCAACTGCATAAAGAAAGGAAAATTACATTAGAAACATATGTTCATTGTCGAGTGAAACACACGAGATTTAGTGGTAAAACTGAAGATAGGAAGCGTAGAAGAGTTATACACGAAATATGGATTAACAGATTAACACTTGAAATTACTTTCACGCTCCGATTCACAAAGGAGATGTTACTTGAATAGCTTTTCCTAGGCCAGCATTCCTAGAAGAAAACAAGGATTTGAATGAAACAGCCGATTTAATGGAAGTGATAAATACACAGGCGGTGCTGATAATTATGTAGTCCTATAGAATTGTAACAGGTCCTATCTCCGTACTATTATTATTTCCATTATCATTATCCTGGTTACCACAACTATCATTAAGGACACATGGCACAGTGGTTAAAGGTGCTGGTTAGATCCAGTGACAGGACCCAAAGAGCTGAGAGTTCAATACCTGGTTGAAGCAGTGGAGAACTTGGAGATATGAATTAACCAGAGATAACTGATAACTGACATCCATTAGAGATATTGGAACTAGAACAGTCTACGAGGCGAGGCGATGTAATGGTTAGGAAGCTTGTCTCGCTAGAAAAATTACGACTAAGTAGTGAGTTCGAACCTCACCAGGTGCTCCATACATTCGGCTTTGAACCACATCTAAGCTACGCTTGGAAAATCACTTTATTAGTTACCGGGTGTAACAGCAATATTGTCTATTTGTTAGAATAATACTAAACCGTTGTGTCGTAGAAATGATTAAAGATATCTTACTGGAATTCTTCGAGATTTTTATAACGTGCAAATATACTTTATCTAATTTGAGAACAAAGATATTTAATATATTTTTTAACAAAATTTTTTGGAGAGGTGATGATGAAAATGATCAGGTGCCATCAAAACATATTTTTAAAACATAATATGAATAAATACTAGATGTTTTGCTTTACTTTTGATAATCTTCGTATTCTTCTGTATTCCGCGTCGCTTCAGTACATAGGCGACCATGTCAGTCCACAAGTGTTTATTCCTGGTGGCCCTTAGCAGCGCTTCTCGGTTTGTCATGTCCCTACACGCAAGCCACCAATCTGACACAAGGTGGAATGCTAGTAGCATTTAGCGCTGGTGGCTCGCTGTCGCGCCGCCAGAGTGTTTGCCTTGACAATGTTACGACTTGCGGACTGGTAGCGGCCCACCGTTGCCCCGCCAGTGGCCTGCCGGTTGCTGCCAATAGATGGCAGCTGGGATTGCTCGCCGTTCTGCCATTTAATCACACTCGCATTCAGGTAAGTAGCCTGCTGCCTTCCCTTATCTTTCATGGTCTTGATATCCCTTGTGAGTGTCAAATTCCCCAAGCCATCATTCTTCTTTCTGATTCTGAGTAAAAAGTGGTCTTTGTGTTACAAAATTCGATCCGTCAATGGGATTCTAATTATCTTCGAGTTACCTTCTGTTCTCTCTGAGGTGAGACAGTCCACTACCATAAAAGTCCTCCTTTTTTCTACTAATAAAACGCCCTCTTTCTTCGTTTTTGGAATTCATTTGCCGTAAATACGATGCTTGTTCGGTCAGTCATTTTCCAACTTTTCTTAAAATACCAAACGAAGCAAAAAATCTAAGAAGTAAATCACCACTTGAACAATGTTTTTTAAACCCACGATGAGAGTAATGGCGACAGCAACAAAATACAACGTTATGAATAGAAGTCACTCATACGGTTAGAAATGAAGCACCTACAAATTATATGTCAATTAGAAATTAATATTCGAAATGAAAAAAATGTATGATCGAATCCGCACTAATATTGTTAACTACTAAAAGTCTATTCTGGTTAAATCATGCAATCTGTCTATCTTTATTTCTTTATTTCTTACTTTCCATCTTTCTATCAAACTATCTATATATCGGTATGTCTGTTTCTGTCTAATCCATTTATCTATTTACCTATTTCAGTAAATTAATCTGTTACGTTAATTCAGTACGTTCATATCTATTCCCGTCTATTAATACTATCTGTGTTCGGATCCATCGAAAATTTTTCGCATAATTTTATCTATCTATCTATCTATCTATCTATCTATCTATCTATCTATCTATCTATCTATCTATTTGTTTTGTTCAAAACCAATGTATGTATGTATGTATGTATGTATGTATGTATCTATCTATCTATCTATCTATCTATCTATCTATCTATTTGTTTTGTTCAAAACCAATGTATGTATCTATCTATCTATCTATCTATCTATCTATATATCTATCTATCTATTTCAGTAAATTCATCTATTAATTCAATATGTTCCTATCTATTTTGATCTATTAATTCTGTCTTTGTTTCTGCATATCGCAAACGCTTAACATCTATCTATCTGTTCGCATCTATCTATCTATCTATCTATCTATCTATATATATATATATATATATATATATATATATATATATATCTGTAAATTCATCTATTGTGTTAATTCTATATGTTACTATCTATTTCGATCTATTAATTCTGTTTTTGTTTCTCTCTATACCAAACGGTTAAGATCTATCTATCTATCTATCTATCTATCTATTTTGGTCCTATCTATCTATCTATCCCATATGTGTTCTATCTATCTATCCCATATGTGTTCTTTCTTTCTTTCTATCTATCTATCTATCTATCTATCTATCTATCTATCTATCTATCTATTTTTGGTTTAACCATTCTGTTTATCTATTTATTACGGTAAATTCATTCATTCTATCTTTTCAGCTATCTAATGCAATCTGTCTATCGCTGTCTTTTTAAGTCGATTAATTCTATTTCCGTTCCTATCTCTACCAATCTGATTCATTCTATCTATCTATCTATCACTGTCCGCCTGCATCTTTCAATATTTCTATTTGTCTTTCTTTTTTTTTTCTTTCAGGATATCTATCAACAAATAAACAATTCCTTGGGGCTTAGAAGTCCCCAGTGACGGCATCACTTTCCATGTGAACCTTTCTGGCCGTGCCTTCACTGACGCAATCTCATCCAAGTAGGTGCTTGCAAGTGTGATATTTCAACCTTTGTATTCCCCCTATTGTCTTGACCCTTTCGAAATCCGGATAATTGGATATTTTCTTTCGGCGGATTCTGACTCTCTTTAGTTCCAACATTATTCAATAGAAAGATGATATTTTCACTTTGGGGGTGTCAAACTTTTCTTTATCATTTTGCGCATCGGTGATGATCGATTTCTTCCACTAACAGCAACGTGACCCTTTTTTTCCGCTATCAGTCTCACCCTTCTGGATTTGAAGGATATTCTGACTGATTGAAGCAATCTCATCTTTTAGATGAACGTTAGATGTTTTGATATTGGTTTCGAAGTCTTGGTGAAGATTTTTCTCTTGAATTAATCATTTCGACCCTAAGTTGTTGAAGAGAAAGAACCATAAACTGTACAGGATCCAAAGAGAAAGAATTGGCATCGTGTATGATTATTGAAAGATTGTAGTTACCAAGAAAGAAAGGAGCCAGAGGAGAGTTTCACAACTGCGGAGGGTCGTTTGGGGACGCTGTGGCACTTAGTGCACCAGGTCTCTGTATTCGGCTCTTCAAAGTATGGATGGTCCTACACGAAAGCTTCACCACTCTAATCAAATCTCATGTGTTGTTTTCGGACTGCCGGTTTCCTAGGAACTTATCTGCTTGACCCACATACGTCGTATTCGACGGCACAGTCAGTATATATATATATATATATATATATATATATATATATATATATATATATATATGTATATATATATATATATATATATAGGCAGCAATGTTTCATTAATGCATGTTTCATTAAATAATATAGACATGTTTTTTTCTATTTATTTTAACTAAGTTCCTTCCATATTGTCTGATAAGCTTAATAACATTATCAATGGAAGACGACACGAAATCACCATATTGATACATGTTTAAATCCAATCTAAGCTTTCGGCTTACACAAGCCATTGTCAAAGATGACAATTTCAATAATTCAAACAACAACGGACAAAACAACAATGATAGTCAGCCCTTGCTGCATGAAAATTTCCAAGTAAGCTTAGATCGGATTTAAACATGTATCAATATGGTGTTTTCCTTTCGTCTTTCAACGATAATGTGATTAAGCTTATCAAGTAATATTAAAGGAATTTAAAATAAATAGACAAAACTTATCTATATTATTTAATGAAATTTGCATTAAAATATATATAGTGGAGTTTGAAATTAGATCTTTTTGACAGGGGAAAAAATCTAATTCATTGTTATTCTTTACACGCGCTAGCCTCTCCATTCTCAAAACAATTAAGTGACAAATTTGTTTCCCTCTTTACTATATACATTTACAATACATTTGCATTCCAGTTCCTTTCTATTCTTTTCTTTTCTTCT